ATGAGCCCTGAGCAGGAACTCAACTACTGACCTTTCGCTTTGTGGGACAACATCCAACCAACTGAACCACACTGGTCAGGGCTGGCTTGGTACATTTTTTAAATAATTTAAGTCTCCATAAGCTGTGTCTCTTCCCAAACTTCATTACCCTATTCTTTCAAAAATGAATTAGCACTTTTCAACATCTTTGCTTACTAAGTTCATAGGTTTCTGCTTTGGAACCATAAATGGGCAACCAGTAGAGGAAGAAGGTGGTAGCACAATCAACGTATGTTGAAACATTCTTGGGGTTAATATATACACAATATCCAAAAATGAACTAATCTTTTGGATGAAGTAATAAAGAGCTCCATTTGAGAAAAATCATAAATTGTTTTAGCCGTACTTTCATTTTTCTGACTATAAGTTCTTAAGAAATTCAACTCAAATTGAAGGAACACAGAAGTAAAGCTTTTAGGAATTACTATTAACTAAGTTAAAATGATCTGAACATAAAATATGAGAAAATTTTAATTTTTATCAAAATTAGAGTCCATCTTAGTCCTGCAAACAAATGCCACATCAATCAATCATTTGGTACTTATGACACAGCCTTTAAAGACCATCTCACTTGAACAAGACAGCAATAAAAAAAATAAGCTCATAATTTTATAAAGGTTTCATGTTCCATAGCTACAAGGCACATGAAATTATTCCAATTCAAACCCTCAAAGATCCAATTCAGACTATGGAATGAAGACTGGTGAGGCAATTAAGCAATTTAACAATACACTGTGAAAAAAACATTTAGTTAGATCCAATAACTAAAGCTGCCATCGCCAATAACAAATACTAGGTTTCAAATAATATATATTTTACTCTATTCTATTAAAAGAACTTTACCATGAATATTTAGGGATATTAAATAATATTAACCACTATTTTTTCATAGGATTCTTAGGATGACTTCATCATAAAGAAGAAATGCTGTCTAATATTTTCTACAAATGACTATATAACCATGGTCCTTATTCAGAATTTTGACACATATTCATTATGTACCTTAGATAATATCTCTTAGTACTTAAGTTTTCCATACCATAATTTTGTATTTCACAGGGATATTGTGTTTAGCTAACTATGCTTATAAAAATTTTTGAGGTACACAGATGACAGGTGGAAGGCATAGGTACAATTAATTGCTATGTACCTGATGAAAAAAATGCCACTTAAAAGCATTAAAATCAGCACAGATGAATCTCAAAGACACTATGCTAAGTGAAATAAGTATGTGCTATAGACAATGTTTTTGTCCTGTGCCTGTAATTCTCATGTTGAAATCTAATCCCTGATGTGATGATATCTAAACTCAGGGTCTTTGGGGATTATTAGGTCATAAAGGCAGAGCCCTCTTGAATCGGATTAGTGCCTTTATAAAACACATTCCAGAGAACATCTTGCCCCTTCCACCATGTGACAGCATAGCACAAAGAAGACCATCTCTGAACCAGAAAGCAGGCTCTACCCACAAACCAATTCTGTCAACACCTTAATCTTGAACTTCCAAGCCTCCAGAAGTGTCAACAAAAAGGTTCTATTGTTTATGAACTACAACCCATGATATTTGCTTATACCAGCCTGAACAAACTAAAATAGCCAGTCACAAGAGGACAAATACAATATGACTCTTGGAAGTCTAGTCAAGATGTTGATGTAGGCAGACATCACTTGCCCCTTTGCACAAACACATCAACATTACAACTAAAATATAGGACAACCATCACTGAAAAATGTCAGAAATTGAGTTAAATAGAAGTCTGACAACTGAGGAATTGAAGAAACCACATCTATCCAGGCTAGTAGAAGGGGTGTGGATATGGAACAGGCTAGCCCCACACCCACATGGATAAGAATTCAGGCAGGATATCAAGGGAGGAAGATTCCCAGACCTGTACCAGGCCCCCCAGCACAGGATTCCAGTGCCAGGAAGGTAAGTCCCCACAACTTCTGGTTGCAAAAAGCAGTGGGGACTGAGATGGTGAAGGAGGTTGCTGAAGCCCTAAGCAGTTCCTCTAGGGGAACCCACACAGACTCACCTACTCAGACTCACTCCAAGTTCCAACACTGTAGTGGCAGCTTGAAAGGCATCAGTGGTATACAAGGAGAAACTGAGGTGTCTGGTACCAAGGCCAGCAGAGCCCACTGTCCCTCTGCTGAGCCCTCTTCCTACACAGCTCGGCTGGTGCCAAATCTGAGACTCCATCAACCTGGCTAACACTGTTTCACCTGCCTGGAAATCCCTAGAGACTTTGCCTCACCCATAAGTTGGGTCCAACTTCTGGACCCACCCAAGCAGCTTATCCATGTGAATGGCTGGTCTTAGCTCATATTGCATAACTTCCTAAATCCTCTCAAACAAGGAATGGCTGGCCTCAGTGAGCCTACAGGCCTGGCACTAGCAACAACCAGCCTGAATTCACAGCTTGGCTTCACGTGGGAATCTCCAAGCCCGGCACAAGTAGCAGCCATTTCAGATTGCTTTACAGCTCAGGCAGGGTGGCCCAGGGCAAAACACAGGTGGGGGCTGACCTCGGCCTGCACCACTGGGGAAACCCCAGGGCCAGCACAACCAGTGCACAGCACAGATCACATCGGAGCACCATTACCATGCACCTGTACAGATGATCCTCCACGGAGGGCAGAGGGTGGTGATCAGTGGTCACAGCTGGACTGGCCTGGGTAAATTCTTCCCATTGAACTGCCAACAGCAACCAAGGCTCAACTACAACAGGAGGGTGTACTCAGCCCACACAAAGGCTGCACCTCAAATACTCAGTTTGGGTGATAGGGGAGGTTATGTGACTGGACCTTACAGGACACTTACTACATGAGGCCACACTACCAAGACATGAAGTCAAATCAGCTCTATCTAATACGAAGAAACAAACACAGGGAGGCTGCTAAAACAAGGAGCCAAAGAAACATGGCCTAAATGAAAAAACTGATCAAAACTCCAGAAAAAGAGCTAAATGAAATGGAGATAAGCAATCTATCAGATGCATAGTTTAAAACACTGGTTATAAGGATGCTCAAGGAACTTAGTGAGGACCTCAACATCATAAAACAGATCCAGTCAGAAATGAAGGATACACTAATTGAATTAAAGAACAATTTACAAGGAAACAACAGTAGAGTGGATGAAGCTGAGAATCAAATCAATGATGTGGAAGATAAGGAAGCAAAAAGAACCAATCAGAACAACAAGAAGAAAAAATCCAAAAAAAGAGGATATTATAAGCAGCCTCTGGGACAATTTCAAGTGTTCCAACACTGACCTCACAGGGGTGCCAGAAGGAGAAGAGAAAGAACAAGAAATTGGAAATCTATCTGAAAAAATTGTGAAAAAAAACTTCCCAATTTGGTGAAGGAAACAGACATGCAAGTCCAGGAAGCACAGAGAGTCTCAATTATTATGGATGCAAAGAGGTCCACTCCAAAACACATCATTATTAAAAGACCAAAGGTTAAAGATAAAGAGAGACTGTTAAAAGGAAGAGAAAAGAAGTTAGTTATCGGAAGGTTGACATATGAGAGAGGGTAGGGGGAGAACGGGTGAAGAAGTGAGGGAATTAAGAGGTACAATAGGCAGTTAAAAAATAGCCACAGGGATATAAAGTACAGTATAGGAAACAGAGTAGCCAAAGAACTTACACCCATGATGTGAACATGGTGGGGAGACTGGCTGAGGGAGTGGGGGGGGGGTGCTGAGTGGAGAGGGGCAAAGGGGGGAAAATCAAGACAACCGTAATAGCATAATCAATAAAATAAAATTTAAAAATATAATTCTTATATTATAATATGAGGCACTTATATGAGGTACCTCAAGTAGTCAAATTCATAAGACTGAAAGTAGAATAGAGATCGAGACCTGGCCATTGTGGCTCAGTTGATTGGAACATAGTCCTGTAAATCAAAAGGTAGGGGGGTTCGACTCCCAGTTAGGGCAAGTGCCTAGGTTGCAGGTTCAGTCCCCATTCAAGGACCTAATGGGAGCCAACCAATCAATATTTTTTTCACATATTTCTCTCTCTAGAATATACATATTCTAGATATATGTAAATATATATAGGGGGTTCTTTTTTTTAAAGAGTAGTGATTACCAGAAGCTGGGGGAGGAGAGAATGGGGAATTACTATTTAATGGGTACAGAGAACTTAATGCCACTTAACTGTATACTTTAAAATGGTTAACATAGTAAATTTATTATGCATATTTTAACACCATAATAAAAATTTAACAAGTGTGAAAATCAGAATATAAATAACAAATCAACATTAATTTTTTTAATCACTAATTCACTCATAAAATGTTAACCAAATCAAGGAATTCATTTGTTCATTCATTCAGTAACTCTAAAGTGGCTTCTATGTGGCAGGTACCATGCTAGATCTGAAAATATGGCAAAAAAAAAAGACAGTCTCTGTCTTCACAGAAATTATGCAGAAATAGTAGTGGCTAAAAAACAATAAAAAAGTACAAAAATTCTATCTTTCTCATAGTGTTAAGTACTACAAAAAAGGAGGGTAAGGAGATGGAATGATGGCAATGAAGGCTTTCTCAGAGAAGATAACTGTCCTGGGACCAAGAATAAAGTAAGAAGAAACACTTGAGACACAGAGAATAATAGTAAGTGCCAATGCCCTGAGGTGCAAAGGCTTAGTGTTTTCAGGAAGAAAAAAAAAAAAAAAAAACAATGACAAAAAGGCACAAGACTGCTGTACAGTAAGTTAAAAGACAGGGGTAGAAGAATTAGATAGGCATAGATGATGGAGGGCCTGGAAAGTACCAGTAATATTTTGGACGTTATTCCAGCAATGTTGAAAGTCATATGTGATACTTTTAATAAGGGAATGATGTGATCTGATTAGAAAAGACACTCTAGTCATTGTATTCCGAATAGTCTTGGAAATAAGGAAAGAGGAAAAGAATCAAAATACAGAAACCATTTTAGAAACACTTACAGTAATTCAGGTGGAAATGACAGATGGCAATCACATGCTGGTTGGATATTTGGTTGCTGAAGAACTAAACAGGAAAAGAAAGCATCATAGTCAAGGATGATTCCAAGATTTTGAACTGATCAATTGGGTCAGTAATGCTATTAAAGACTGGGATGGAGACACTGTGGTATGAATAGCTTTGGTGTTGGTGCTGGTAATTATATTAAAAAATCAAGCCCTGGCTGGTTTGGCTCAGTGGATTGAATGCTGGTCTGTGAACTGGAAGGTTACAGGTTTGATTCCCGCTCAGGGCACATGCCTGGGTTGTGGGCCAGGATCCCAGCTGGGGTGTGTGAGAGGCAACCAATCAATCTTGCACATATTTGTCTCCCTTTCTCTTTCCCTTCCTCTCTCTCTAAAAATAAATAAAATCTTTAAAAAATAAAAAATTTAGACCATTAAAAATCAAGAACTTGGTTTTGGCAAGGATAAATACCTAAGTGAAGAGTTTCGGGAAAAATGACATGATCAATTGTGACAACTGCTACTGGAATAACACTTGACCTTAAGGCTGAGACATGACCATTGGATTTATTGAGGCAAATTTCACTGGTGCCCAAGAAAAGAATGTTGTTAGAGGAGTGGTGAAGACAAAAGCATGAATAGGATAAGTAAGCCAAACAAAGTCTGATGAGGATATATAACTGTATATATGAACAATGCTTTCAAGCAGTTTTGTTATAAAGGTTTGTGGCAAAATGACACTGTACCTGGAGGGGAATATCAGGTCTTAAAAGGTTTTTGTATTAAAACAGGGGAATTGTAGAACATGTTTATATGCTGATGAGATAATATAGAGAAGGAAAAAAGTATGGGGAAAATTACAGAAGGAAAATCAATGATTATTAAAGATCTAATAAATGCATGTCTTCCCTTGCTGCTAGAAATGCAAAGAAAATATAAGACATATAACTAATTTAAGGATATATGGAAACTATATTGAAAATCGTAAAGAAAAATGCTATATACAGATAATTAAATTAAAAATCCTTTACTAAAAATATTTTATAAGAGGCTGCCATGTTAAATATTATGCAAAGCAATGTTGATGTATTTCATGACGTGACAGCAGCATCCCTCTGAGCTGCACACGTGCAGCTGCACAGTGGTAAGAACGATGCCAGGACAGCTTTCATCTCATCACGCACAGTGGGGCTCAGACAGGATCGGAGTTAGACAAAGAGTAAAGCTAGCAATTTTAAAAAAACACCTCCACTGAACTTTCCCATTTCCCTCCTCTGTACTGACCCATTTTCACTTTTGAATTTCTAGAACCCTACTCTTTTATAACTCATCACTTCAATCAAAAGAGAAAGCAATTCATGTTTCAATCATTTACACAAATGTTCATTTCCAAAGTTCCCTCTCTCTCCTTATTACTTTCTACCATGTTCCCTTGCCCCCTTAAAAAGGTAAAATTAGATGGTTAAAAAGAATGTGAAAGACATAAAGACAACTGACTAATTACATATGAATGCAAACTAATTTATATAAGTTAGGCATTTTGCATTTTAAGCTTTTTTCCCTTTTACTTATAAGATACTTTACCCTCTGTATATCTTTATATACTGTCCCACTCTAAAATAAGATATGAGGTAATATACTAAGGTACATAATATACAAAAAAAAAATAAATTGACAGTGAGTAAAATAATATCAGGTCAAAAATGAGATTAGTTTCAAAACTGCATGCCACAAGGCCCAGGTACCTTCTGTTATTGTAGGATGAAATATATAACTTCGAGTTTCCTTATAACCACAGCAAAGAAGAAATGATTGTCATATGTAGCTTTTGTTTGTTTATATTATGTACAATATTCATGAAGTGAAAATAAATCAATCATTTTCTTAAAAGAAGCACTGCCCTATTTGTTACTGAGACTGAGGAAAGTTGTCCTACTGAATTGTCAAAAATATGCCAGCAATAAACAATTAGTTCTGAAGGACTACAAGACGAGACACTCCAAAAATGAATTATCTTCTAGAGGGTGAGCTCCTTGTAGTACAGGCTTCCCCCAGTAGATGAGTGTTCTAAGAACCCATCTGTATCAGTGTACCAGCTGGCACTGTGAGAGGTTTTGTTGGGCTTCAGTGAATTTTGTTTTTAAGATTCTTTCAACATGTTTGACCATTTCGAGATGGGTAATTTAAGAGCACAAGTGCCCATTCTACCCACTCAGGGCAGTTAGGCAGATTTTGACCAAAATCAGCACAACCCCCATGTCTTGCCCTCCCTATTCACCAGACCTCCTCCTGAGAGACTTTTCTTTTGTTTCCCAGGGGACAAAAAAAAAATCTTCAAAGGGAAACATTTTGCTTCTGTGAAAGAGGTGAAAAATAAAACCCAGCAAAAACACTAAAAGACAACAAAATCAATGAGTTCAAAACTGTTGGAGCAGTGGAAAAAATGTCCCAATAGGTGTATTGCGTCAAATGGAGAGTACTTTGAAGTAGACTGAAGTTTAAAAATGTAAGAATAAATACACAATTTTACAAATAAATTAGTTATTTGGGGGGCCCCCTCATACTTATTTCACATCCCTAACTGGTCAGTGGCATAATACATAAGCATTTCAGTCACTAAAAAATATAGTTCAAGTATTTCATACATAACTCTAATTCAAGGATAAGATATGAAATATGCAGAGGAATATTCTATGTGTTTCATGTATTCCTCCCCCAAATACTATAATTTTAGAAATCACAAAAAATTTTTTGAGATGAAACTCATAAAATTCACCACTTTAGGGTACAAAATTCAGTGGTTTTAGTGTATTCACAATGCTGTGCAAACATCTTTACTATTACTTTCAGAACATTTTCATCAGCCCAACAAGAAACACCAACTAAGCAGTCATTACCATTCTCTTCCCCATTTTCCCTTCCAGCCCCTGGCAACCACTAATCTACTTTCTGTCTTTATGAAGTTGCCTATTCTGGACATTTCATGCAAATGGAATCATATAATATATGAACTTTTGTGTGTGCCTTCTTTAACTTAACATGAAGTGTTCAAAATTCATCCATATTGTAGCATATATCAGTACTTCACTCTTTTTTATAGCTGAATAATATTCCATGGTTTGCACATTTTACTTATCCATTCATTAGTTGATAGACATTTCACTTGTTTACAACTTTTGGCTATGATGAATAACAATATGAACATTCATGTCAAGTTTATGTTTGGGCATAAATTTTCAGTTCCCTTAGATAGACATGTAGGAATGGAAGTTTTGGGTCATACAGTACATCTATGTTTAAGTATCAAATTTTCCCAAAGTGACTTCATATAAATAACATTCCCACAAAATTTCCACTTTTTCACATTCTTGCCAACACTTACTATTTTTCCATTGTTTTGTTTTTATCTAATCATCTTAGTAGATACGAAATATTATCTCATTTGTGGTTTTGATGTATATTTCCTAATAGCTATATGATGTTGAGTAGGTTATAGCACTCATTGCCATTTTATATCTTCTTTGGAGAAATATTCAAATATTTGCCCATTGTAATTGGGTTATTATTTTGTTCTAAAATCCTGTTCACAGTGAATCTTTAAAAACTGTCATCTACTACCAGTTTTCAGCTTAAGAGTGACAAAAGAGGAGATTATGATTTGTGCACATGAAGATGGTAGATCAAAACTACTTGGAGGCAGGAAAGAAATCTCCACCTTATAAGGACCTGTTGTATAGTACTAACAGCAAATACTAATCCTTCCACTGCCTATGAATTCTCTTCCTCCTCACCAAAAGATGTATTGCCTACTAAAAGAACAGTTGATATCTATAATGGGGCACATTGTTTTAACACTGAGCAAAAACTGGCAATGGTCAAATAATCAGAAAAAGAGGTAGATATTAAAAACAGCTTGGAGCACTGCAAAAGAAACTAACAAAATAAATGGGTTACAGCTTAACAAAGTAAAAATATATAATATCTGCATGCTCACTGAGTCCTTCATAGAGACTGAACAGTTAAAAAAAATTAAAAGTGGGCCAAGATGGAGGCGTAGGTAGACACACTGTGGCTCCTCACACAACCAAATTAAGGACAACAAAAATTTAGAAACAAACAAAAAAACCAACCAGAACTGACAGAAAGTTGAACTGTACAGAAGTCCGACAACCAAGGAGTTAGACACATTCATCCAGTCTGGTAGGAGGGGCAGAGTTGGGCGCCAGGCCGAGAGGGGTCGCCGTGAAGGCTTACAGACCCTGGTGCACAAGGCAGCAGCTGATGGACTCCGGGGTGCAGGAGGCGGCAGGCAGACCCTGGGCGCGGGGTGGCAGTGGGCAGACCCAGTGAGGCACACGGGGCGGCTGGCTGACCGAACAGTCCCACATTCGTGTGCAGATAAACCAGGTGAAGTTGGGCAGCAAGACAGACCATGCAGCCCAGGGCCCCAGCTCTGGGAAATAAAGCCTCAAAATACTGATTGAAAACACCTGTGGGGGTTGAAGTTCCGGGAGAGACTCCCAGCCTCACAGGAGAGTTTGTTGGAGAGACCCACAGGGTCCTGGAACATACACAAGCCCATCCACCCAGGAACCAGCACCAGAAAGGCCCAGTTTGCTTGGGGGAAGCGGCAGAGGGGACTGAAATCCAAGAGAGAGGAGCAACCACCATTGTTCCCCCTCGGGCCCTACCCCCACATAAAGTGCCACGACCCAGTGACTAGGTTGACCTGCCCTGGTGAACACCTAAGGCTCCGCCCCTCATATGTAACAGGAATGACAAGACAGGAAAAAAAAAAGGCCCAAACGGAAAAACAGATCAAAGCCTCAGAGCAAATACATTTAAGCGACGAAGAGATAGCCAACTTATCAGATGCACAGTTCAAAGCACTGGTGATCAGGATGCTCACAAAATTGGTTGAATCTGGTCGCAAATTAGATGAAAAAATGAAGGCTACGCTAAGTGAAATGAAGGAAAACACACAGGGAACCAATAGTAATGAAAGTAAACTGGGTCTCAAATCAGTGGAGTGGACCAGAAGGAAGAAAGAAACAACCAAAC